ACTACAAAGTGCTCCTATATTGTAAGTGGAGCTGATAAAATGGACAATAAGTGTAGATACAAGGTAGGTTTAGCTAATAAAGTGATCAGTGAGTGTAGGTGCAATACTGACTGCAGCCTACAAAGCGCGCTGCATTCTTAAAAATAAAGATTCTTAAAGGGTCCTTGGCTTGAACGTATGGTTCTAGGAAAAACTTTTAAATGGTATTGAACCACTAGATTATGTAGAGGTTCTGTGAACCTTACAAAGCTTTAAAAGGGTTCATATATATCATTTACAGAAATTATTCTTTAAATAAAAATCCATTGCATGCTCTTTTGGAACCAAAAGTCGTTCTTCAATGGCATCACTCCAAAGAATGTTTTTGGCAGCTTATTTATTAAGTGTATTTAATGGAATGCCCAGTGAGTGTAGGTACAAGGTAGGTGTACCTAAATAGACTTGCAATACATTTCACCTTGCGGGGTTTCACACCTTTTATATGCAAAAGGTTGAATCCTTAAAATGTATTATTTGAGGCCAAGCAATGGAAAAATAGACCAGCTTTCTTCAGAACTGTGTCAGCTGTGGTGTAGTCCATTTCAGCCTGGCATTCCCACATTTCAAAGCTCCCCTTGAGACCCAGCTGGGGAAAGCTGCTACAAATGGCCTGCATTTACAGCACTCCTCTCAGATCTGTTGTGGCCCAATACAAAGTGACAGCATTTAACATGTAGATAAAGACTAGAGACTTAAGCCCTTAGTGAAAGCACCACTTAGCAAGGCAAAGGTATCTGTATTAGGGGCAAGGGTTCAAGTCATAGTTACAGTGCAGTCCATAAGAAACTGGACAGTGGCACATATTTTGTTGTTGTTTTAGCTTTGTTCTCCAAAACATTGGACAACAAAGGTTAAAAACTAGAGAGCAACAGCTTTAACTTGAGGGTATTTACATCCACATTATACACAATATATAGCAATAAAGGCTCTGTTTATGTATAGTCCCCTTATTTCATGAGAAGACAAGTAATTGGACAATTAACTGCCTTGTTGTTTCTTGGCCAGCTGTGGCTCACTGCATTATTGGTTCATGCATGGGTGAGCTAACAAAAGTCTAGATGATTCTAAATGTGGCATTTGCATCTGGAGTCTATTAGCTGTTGTTTCTCAATATAAAAACCAATGCAAGTAAAGCATGATGGGTCTGAGAAATCAGAGACATAAATTAATCAATGAATGAAAGAGGTTGCTCAAAATCAACTGTTTGGTTCATTGTTAAGGAGCATGAATGCACTGGTGAGTTTTCTGTCTGGCAGACTGCAGAACACCTCAGCAGTGGACAACCAAAAATACATTCAATCCTTAAGACAGACTGTTTAAAAGATGAAAAGGGCTGTTCCTAAATGGTTCATCTGACATGGATGTAAATTCCTTTGAATGAAAGCTGATATTCTGCCCTTTCACCTTCTAATCTTTGCTTCACTTTCAATCCAGTGTGATGGAGTGCAGCACCAAGACAGCAGAAACTGGCAGTATCAAGTTGCTTATAGACTGCACAGCAGGTGCTATAGGCTGTTTATAGACAAGATCTGCAACAATACAGTTTGGCACATGCTCAGCTGGAGGTACAGGGGGTGTGTACAAAATAGTGTTACATGAAATACTCATTCTCATTGGCCATTTTATTAGAAACACATTCCATGCACTTCATAGGTTTACAGTTACTGACACTAGCCTATAGTATCAGCACCCCTCTACGTGGTCCATCAATGGAAAAGGACAACCATAAAACCTAGGCTGAGCAGGTGTTGTTTGGGTGGAGGATCCTTCTCAGCACTGCAGTGATGCCAAAACAGTAGTCGCATGGTATGTGGGGCTGGCATGAGTGTTTTTAGACACAGCAGTGCTGTTGGACTGTTAAAACACTGTGTACACTTACTGGACCCTTTAGTTGAACTCCCTTACCTTGTTGTTTCACCCTGTAGATGTAAAGTTAGAGGCGCCAGCTCGGCCGTTGATGCACAGTTCATGTCAGCCATCTTCTGGTCCTTTATCAGTGGTCAGTTTCTGACCACAGGACGACTGTTGGCTGGATACTTTTGGTGAATGGTCTATTCTCAGCCTAGTAATGGCAATGCTGTGTCTGATCCACTCACCAGCCCAACACAGACTATCATGCCACTAATGTGTCGCTACATGGCTGACAATGATCCACAAAGCAAACAATACCTAGTCAGTGGTGGCCTTATGGTGGTCCTTTTCCATTGATGGATGCAATAGAGCACATGTGTCAAACAGATCAGGCCCACAACACAATTCTATCTGGCCCGCAAAAATATTTTAAATTTCTGTTAATATTAGCTCGTTTCACAATGCGCTACACCACAGTCCCCAGCATGCACTGCAACGCAATGTGCACTCTGGCTTTTCTCCCCCAACAACAATCTATGGGACAGCAGTTACACATTGATTCCACACAATTCTATGCAGTTCCACACCAGTCATATCACCAAACACACTAGCTGCATTTCAACCAACATAAACACTTAACATTAACTCAGAAGCTCAGAAATTGAGTCCAAGAATTAATAAACTTGTAGAAAAAAAAGGACACCAGGTGTCTAGTTCAAGCAAATAGGTAGGTTTAAAAGACCTAGCTCTGGCGGACAATTAATTTTTAATATTTCAGGCATTCATGTAATATTTTAAGGTCTACTACAAGATGTTGACAATTTGAAGTATTTTGAATAACCAATGGCCAGTTCAGGTCATAGTAAATGTTAATTAAAGATGAAATAAAAACAGGCATTCTCTGGCCCACGGATTTGTTGGGATTTTTTAATATGGCCCTTTTAGTGGTTGAGCTTGACACCCCTGCAGTAGAGGGTGGTTGATAACAGCAACAGATGGTCTACAGTCAGAAATCGCAAACCTGCAAAGTGCACTTATATGGTAGGTGTTTCTGATAAAATGGCCATTGAGTACCCCATGTGCTTCATGTTTCCATCATTTTGTACATCCTCTGTATGTTAGTGTCTGTCTTTCCCCAGCTGACATGCTATTCAATTCTCAGTAGCTGAAAAGTGTTTTTTTTTTCTTCTAAAAGAAGATATTGTATCTTCAATTGGCTTTCAAAGCATAGAACTGCATCCAGTTCAAACTGTTCTACAACTAATTAGTTTTTTGTGTTAATTACAAACAAGCATTTTGATGTATTCACTGCACAAAAAAGCATAAAAGTGTCATTTAGCTTAATAGAGAAACACATTACTACCCCACAACATACAAACAAGTGTGAAGATGTAAAATACTCCTAGGTGAATTATAATATTATACGCATTCGGCTTTTTACCAGTTCTTACAACAAGACAGAAGTATCGACACAAATATTGGAGAATATTGTATTGCTGCAATAGTGGTATTTTAGAGTTCAATTCATAGAAGCCTATGGGAGTTCATTTTTGCCCTCTATTTGGTCTTAGAAGTCATTTAAGGGCCCATTTCATGGAAAACCAAAATGTTGTCACTTTTTAAAATAAAAGTTTGAGCTAGTATGTAAACAAAGTCTTAAAGTTTATAAAATGTACTGTTCACTCACCAGTCTGTACAGTTCATATGCGGAACCTAAGCTGCAAAAGCAGCCTGTTTTGAATGAATGATTTTTATATTATTTTTATAATTATACAGCCTCCATTCACACTGAAGTTATAAGGAATGTTTTGAATGAAGTCGGCCAATCAGAACAGAGTTAATTTGCAAATATCTGTCTATTTATTCCTTAATTCTAAGGAATAAATAGAGGTTAGAAAATGATGACTTAACCTTTCTGGTACATAAATCCACAAAAATGTTATGAGTGGACCTCAGGGGAAAAATAAAATACCAGAAAAATGTAGGATATGGGCCCTTTAAAAAAGTTTTATTTTATTTTATTATTTTTTCATAATCTTTTAAGTAGGATGAGAACAAAAACTCATGTTAGATCAATGTACAAGGGCAACTTCCACCCACACCTGAGCTCCTGAAACATGAAGAGTAAATGAAGGCACTGACCTTTGATCTGTGTGCTCCTCTTGAAGATGTTGTACACTCAGCAGCATGCACTCCTGTGCTGGAAAAGCTCTCCCCTGCACACCATCACTTCTGAAATCCTTTTTTTCCTTTTCGGTCCAAATGCTTCTGTCCCATCATGCTTCAAAACCTCCTGAGTTTGAGTTCCAGGTCAGGAAAGACGTCTCTCCTCATGAACGCAGCAGTGAAATTAAAATATTTTAAAGTCCTGGTGTGAAGTGCCTCTTAGGCTTTTCACATTAGTATTTTTTAATATATTATGAATAAATATTTGTCGCATATATTGGAATTTAGTGCTTGAGGGTGGTCAAACTACAAATCTTACATTAACCAAGCCATTTGGGAACCTCTGCGTGCAAACTGTTCCACCGAACGGTTTGATATGATTATGGAAATATGTACACATTTTCTGGTGCATTTCATACAAGGACAATGTAAGCAGTGAACATAAGACTGACAAAGATGGTGCATTTAAGAAAATAAATGATCCCTTTCGGCTTTTTTGTTGTTGATGATGATGATAATGATGGGGCTGTAGGGTATTTTACAGGAGCACACACTGTGTAGTGGTAGTGGCAGCTCAGTTAAGGCCATTCATGTCAAATTCAGTTTGCTCCACAGCACATTTTGACTTAGTTTTAAGCCTAGGATAATACGTCATAGGCTGTTAATAATAATAAAAAATAAATATCTTAAAATGGGACACCTAAGCCAGTGCTTCTCTGATCACACCATTATAATATCCTATATATATTTATATGTATGAAACTTTTCCTGTATTACATGAGCCTCGCCAGGATTGCAACAACCTGTTGATCATCCGATTGTAATATAAGACTTCAGTGCCTCAAACGTGGGTTTTTTAAGGACAGATCTACTGACAAAATAAAAAAAAATGTCTGATGTTTGCAGCACACTTGCATGGTGGTGCACAGTCATATTTGCAATGCCTACAGGTCCGTCTCCCTTGCATCCAGGCAGAACGCGTACAGGGAGCGCTTGATGTCCACACTGCTGCTGCTGCTGCTGTTCACTTTTACGCTGGGCTTCTCTGCAGGCGAGTTATCCGTCCCGTCCTCATTGTCCGCCTCTCCGGCCAACCGTAAGGACGTTGGACTCTCGCGGCCGCCGGGGCCATCGTCCCTGAGCGAGGCCTGCTCTTGATCCGTCTCCCTGTGGTAGAAGTAGTTGAAGTTGGACACAATCACAGGTACGGGGAGTGCAATGGTCAGCACACCAGCAATGGCACACAAGGAACCTACGATTTTGCCCCCAACAGTGACCGGCCTCATGTCCCCATAACCCACAGTAGTCATGGTCACCACAGCCCACCAGAAGGCATCTGGGATGCTGGAGAAATGGGACTCAGGCTCGTCAGCCTCAGCAAAGTAGACAGCACTGGAGAACAAGATGACTCCGATAAAGAGGAAGAAGATGAGCAAGCCCAGTTCTCGCATACTCGCCTTCAAGGTTTGCCCCAAAATCTGCAAACCTTTGGAGTGTCTCGAAAGCTTGAAGATCCTGAACACCCTAACCAGCCGGATGACCCTAAGGATGGCCAGAGACATGGCCTGCTGTTGCTGTTGCTGCTGCTGGCCGTCCTCGTGCTGGTGGCCGTGCTGCTGCTCCACCAGCTCCGTACCCACCGTGATGAAGTAGGGCATGATGGACATGACGTCAATGACGTTCATGACCGTCTTGGAGAAGGCTGACTTGCTGGGGCATGCCAGGAAGCGCACCAGCAGCTCGAAGGTGAACCAGATCACGCATGTCGTCTCCACAATGAAGAAGGGGTCGGCGAAGGTCAGCGAAGGTCTAGAGCGGGTTCCGTTGGTCTCTGCTGTCCTGCCGCTGCCAGCCGTGGTTGCGGCCAGCTCCCTTTCGTCCCTGAACTCGGGCAGAGTCTCCAAGCAGAAGGTGACGATGGAAATGGTGATGACCAATACCGATACGATGGCGATGGCACGAGCCGGACTGGAACTCTCCGGGTACTCGAAGATGAGCCAAACTTGCCGCTGGAACTCGTTCTCGGGCAGTGGCCGTTCTTCTTCCTTGATGAAGCCCTCATCCTCGCGGAAACGCTCCATGGCCTCATCACCCAGTTCATAGAAGCGGATCTCATCAGCGAACACATCGATGGACACGTTGACCGGCCTCCGGATCTTGCCGCCGGACTGGTAGTAATACAGGATGCCGTCGAAGCTGGGCCGGTTGCGGTCAAAAAAGTACTCGTTCCTCAGAGGGTCAAAGTACTTGATCCTTTTCTCCGGGTCGCCCAGCAACGTGTCCGGGAACTGCGCGAGCGTGCCCAGACGCGTCTCGTAGCGCAGGCCCGCCACGTTGATGAGCACGCGCTCGGCGCTCGCCACGTCCAGCGCGGCGGCGGCAGCTTCGTCCAGCGCTTCATCGTCGAAGAGGCGCGCGCTCGGCTCCGTGCGCCACGGGCTCGGCGGAGGGCTGCGCGGGGAGCCCGTGTGCGCGCCGCCGTTCTCTAAGCTCACCAGGGCTATCTCCATCTCCATGCTCGAGCCATCAAAAAAGAGCGCGCGGGAGAACAAGAGGGGCAGAGCTGCAAGCAGAGTCGGGGGGTCCCTCGGCACGCGCGCGGCCAAAGCTCGAGGTGGTAAACGGCTTAGAGAGAGCGAAGCGTCCACCTCCTCCTCTTCCTCCTCCTCCTCTTCCTCCTCCTCCTGCTGCTCTCCAGTTTTAACAGGGCATGTACGTATGTGCGTTTGTGCGCGCGCGTGAGAGAGTGCGGGGCGAGCGGCTAAGCTGTTCTGTGCGCGCTCGCTCGGCAAAGTAAATAACCAACAGCACGAGAGATGAGTTTGAAGACCCGGATGAGAGAATGAACGATTATTACTGACGTCAAAAAAGAGAGAGAGAGAGAGAGGAGAGGGAAAACAACAGCTCAGGCACGACTGACAGAGAGGGAATCCTCCGTTTCAGTGGGAGAGTGAAGGGGTGGGGAGGCGGGGTAGTGCTCCCTCACAACTCCTCCCCCAAAGCGATTATTTTATCTCGTCTCAATATTCAAGTAATCATACCTGGCTTTATTATTATCTGAAACCCACCCTAATAGACATGCAAATATTTTTTTGTACATATCGTACTGTACATTTTACATTTTTTGTTCATCAAGGTACAAACAGTGCAAATGTACCCTTAGAGGTACAACAGTGGTTTTAAGGTTCAACTGTGTACCTTAAATAAGTTTTTTTCACAGGGAAAAAGTACATATTTGGACCTTATCATGACCTATTGTTTTAAAATAGAACCATACAATAAAAAGAGACAAGACAGGGTGTGTGGAACCTAAAAAATATATAATTTCAATGGATTATGGTACAATTATGTTCCCTCACTGAAGATACTGAGACGTACCCTTGAGGGTACCACCCCAGTGACAAGAGGGGTACTGCCCCATTGACAGCTCAGAAAAAAAAGGTATAGCTGTCAATGGGGCTGTACCCCTCTTGTCACTGGGGTGATGCCCTCAAGGGTACGTCTCAGTACCTTTAGTCAGGGAACATAATTGTACCATAATCCATTGAAATTATATTTTCTAAGTTGTACTGACTCCACACACCCTGTCTCGTCTCCAGACTTTGAATTTTATTGTCCTGTTTTAAAACATTAAGTGATGATGAAAGATACAAATATGTAGGGTACATTTACATTGTTTGTACGTTGATGAACAAAAACTGTACCTGCACAGAACCTTTATTTTTAACAGTTTACAGTATCTTTTTCTCTGAAAGTGCATAGTTAAGCTCTTCGATCAGTCTGTATAGTGTCCCTTATAATGCATGCTTCCACTGTTAGTCGTTTTTTGATCCTTTTCATCATATCTGAAAGTGCAGCATGTGTGCCAAGGCAGCATTCATTCATGGATGGCTGACCATTGTCATGCCTGGGGTTAAGTTGCATCATCAAATGCTGTGTGACCCATGTGTTTCAGTTTCTCTCCATCTCTGTATTTGTATCCATTTATGCACATAGTGGGTAATATTTCCATTAATAGCATTGTTTACTTGTGTGCACACATCTGTGAGATGTCACAGAGTTGGTATATGCTAGCAAAAAGATTTTTAGTGTGGAGTTGTTGTCATCCATCATTGTGCTGCTGTTTATCGGCAGCTCATGTTTGATTATACACTGAATGTATATATATATGAATCACCCTACGCCAGGTTGCTGCCCCAACAAGTGCCTTAAAGTCAAGCTGAAATCAATTGTGATCTTTTAACCTTGTTAGTTCACGTACCTGATCATATTAAGCATGACTCATCATAACGTACCATTTAAAAGTCAGAATTCTTTTTTTTTGTAAACTTCCACCACAATGGAATGACGTTTGTTTGCCTCTGAGCATGTTTTTTGATGATATTACTGTGCACCAGCAGATGGGGAAAAATTCTACCAATTATTAACCAAATTTCAGGTTATTTCCATCGTTGAAATGTAAACAAAGTTTGACCTGAAATGGTGGACTATAGAGAAAGATACTAACATTTCTTTACAATGGTGGTAGGAACCAGGGATTGTGGTGCCTACAACACAAATATAGTCATTTTATTACATTTCAAATGACCAGTGAACCTCCATGTGTCTTCTCAGTTTTTATACTTAAAGGCGATGATGGTAAAATAGTGACAAATTCAAAAAAAGCTTTTTCTTTGCCTTACAAAGCTCTACATGTACCTCTCCATCCTTAAATGGGTTTTTAAAACGTGCTTTAGACCAAAACCTTCTATCGTATTCTATCAATGTATCAGATATCTGGCACTGTATGAGTAACCACTGGGTGAAAAAGCTTTCTTGGAGCTTTCTAAAAACACTTTAGAGGTCTGGTTCTTATAACCACCATGGAACATTTGACATCAAACTACTCTGAATAACTTTCCTTACATTTTCACAACTTAATTATGCCAACATTTTAAAAAAGGTAACCAATGATATTGCGTTTCACTTCCCTCTTGCATTCACCCTCACTTTTCACTGTCTATGCCAAGAAATGTATTCTTTTACCCATCACAGAGTGATCTTTTTGATAATGTCATTTTGTAATACTATATTTAGTTTGCTCTTCATTTTAGATTACATCTAGTGATCGTAATATTTTATGTTTAATTTGTACCACAGTACACCACCTCCCATAGGAATAAAGAGTAGAGTCGTAGCAACGGCATGTCTAATTCTGGTCTTATTGCTCCAGAGAATTAACTGCATCTATATGACTCAGACCAAATGACCAATGAATCACATGGTAAATGACCCTCAATATTCTTCAGGCCATCTGATAGAGTTGCATTATTTTCTTTAAAGGAGCTACTGTTGTATAAACTTGTATAAAAAAGAGCTATAACAAGTAATCACCACTGATTATTGCAGGCTTTTTAGAAATCTGGTATAAAATGTCTTTTTTACACTATGAATGTATAAACAGTCCTGGTTCTGTAGATCTCCTATCTCTGCCATGGAAGAACCATTTCTCTAAACAGTCTTTCAACTGAGTGGTTTCATTTGAACCACCCTTTGAAAGGTTCTTTAAGGAATCCAAATGTATTCTTTAGTGGCTTCACTCTTGTTTTTGGTACATTTATTTTTACGAGTGAAATAGCCATGTAGGGGGCAACACAGTCAGCATGAAAAGTGGCATGAGGGAGGTAGATGAGGTAGAGGAAAGTTCAGTGAAGAAGAGTCAAAATGGGAGAGAAGAGAAGAGAAGAGAAGTGAAGAGAAGAGAAGAGAAGAGAAGAGAAGAGAAAATCACAGTTTGAAGAATAATAATAAGACGAAAAAGAAGACCTGTCATATAAAGAAAAAAGAAGAGAATAAAACACAACTGGGAGAGATTGCGATGCCCAAGCCAGGTTTAAGCAGAGAGAGCTAGCAGGAGAGAGATTGATGGAAGGGTTAGAGAGTAGAGACAGTCAGAGAGGTGGAGGAGGGATGAGTGCAAGAGATGGAGGGTTTTTGCTTGGACAGGATATGAGTGTAATCCCTGTTGAGTATTAGCGCTGTGTGGGACAACGCGCTGGAGGAAGCCTTGCAGCACAGGCAGGCTGGAAGCAGCGCGCTTCTCATTAGGAGGCCGCTCCAGAGTGGTCAGGCTATCCACTGCTGCCAGGCTCTCTGCTGCTGCCAGGCAGCCACGTGAATGAATAGATGAAGGAGCGCACATAGCACTGACCAATAAATGCTAGCCTGTTTCCCACTGTGACGCTTAGGGAGGGGGAACTGATTCTTTTAAATTGTCCATTTCATTGAATAGAACCGATTCACTGAGCCACATGATGTCAAGTAAACTTTAATCTTATCTCCTCCGTATACAATGAGATCCAGCTCAGCGAGTGAGTCATACTCTATTTGTTCCCCCATTTGTTGCAGTAACATCATCTACTTTTCTGAGAAGACTTAACACTAAATGTTGGAACATTACTCATTCAACCACAAGAGCATTAGTGAGGTCAGGTACTGATATTGGATATTTAGTTCTGGATGATCACATCTTTGGAGTGATGGAGCACCATCCATCACATCTTCCACTGCTCCATAGCTCAAAGCTGTGGGGCTTTATATCCCTCTAGTCGATGCTTGACATTGGGCATGGTGACCTTAGGCTCATGTGTCGCACTATCTCATGCTAGCACTATTCCTCAACATGAAGACCAGACATGCTAATGCATGCTGGTGCTAATCAATTAATGCTCTTCCTCATTGTGTACATGCTAGCACTGGTCAATAAATGCTAACCTGTGACTCACAGGTTACAGATTTACTGATATTTGGGTTTGCTTTCACGTTTACATTTGCTTTCTACAATCTGCCCAGTGCTGTCCTCCTGCCCTCAATGTCCTCTATAACCAAAATATGGTCACCCTGAATCAGACTTGCTAGCAGATGCTAGTGCTGACCAAAAAATAAAAAAAAAATCACTGTCCATATGTGAGGATCAGAAATGCTAGCATTTTCTAGCACTGATTAATCAATAATACCTTGTTCCTCACTGATCCTGTGTAAAGATCGAACTTGTTAGCACATGCTAGCGCTGATCAGTAACTGCTAACCACTAATACCGTGTTATAAGATCAGACATGCTAGTGTGTGCTAGTGCTAACTATTAAATGGTAATCTGTGGGAAGATCAGACATGCTACCGTGTGCTAGCACTGACCAATAAATGCTAATTTGTTCTTTACTGTGTCTATGTAAAGATCAGACATGCTTGCATGAGATAAATCTATTGTATCTACTTTGTGATGCTGAATGAGTCCTGCAAAAGGTTTAATAATATCCAGTAAGATTTTACCATGGTGATTTTGCTCTTGAGCATGTAAGCTAGCTCTTTAGTCACACATGTCAGTTGAGACAAGTGCTAAAATAATAATGATTAGAAATAGTTATGCGTGAGTTCACAGTGGGGTTTAAAGTTGGTATCCATTACAAAGGCATAAACATTTGAATTGCCCTTTTGGCTTCTTTCCTGTAGATCAATTTTAATTGGCATGGATTGATTAGTTGACCTTGAGTTTGGATAGTCCTAATGACCTGTGACATGGTAACAGGACATAGGACTGGATAATAGATCGCACATCAGGGTGATATTATCCTCCATCC